CCTTCTCCTTCCTTCCTTCTCCTTCCTTCCTTCTCCTTCCTTCCTTCCTTCTTCTTCCTTCCTTCTCCTTCCTTCCTTCCTTCTTTTTCCTTCCTCTCCATGTTTCTTTTTCTTCTTGTTCTTTCCCTTCATATTCCTTCCTCTCCTTCTTCCTTCTCTACCCTCCTTCCTCTCCGTCTTCCTTCTCCTCCCCTTCCCTCTGAGCCAGAGGCAAATCCCCTCCCTGTCCTTCCTTCCTGCCCCAGGCCCCGAGCTGAGGACGGAGAGCACGGAGGACAAATCCCCCCGGCAGACCCTGGTGGGAGAGGCCGTTTTGAACGGCTCCACGGCGCAGGAAGGCAGCGGGGAGGAAAAGCCCCAGAGATCCCTCAGGAGAAGGGGCTCCAAAAGCAGCCCAGGGTGCTCTGAGGAGGAAAGAGGCAGCCTGTGCCGGGAAGGCGGCCGGAGCTTGAGCCGGAGCTCCGAGCTGGTGGTGCAGGAGCGTGTCAGTGCCATGGAGAAGCCCTACAAGTGCCTCAGCTGTGGGAAGAGCTACTGCAACAGGTCCAACCTCCTTGTTCACCAGCGTGTCCACACTGGGGAACGGCCCTACGAGTGTGAGGAATGTGGGAAGACCTTCATCTATGGCTCCAACCTCTTCACCCACCGCCGGGTGCACACTGGGGAACGGCCCTACAAGTGTGAGGAATGTGGGAAGACCTTCATCCATTGCTCCCACCTCCTCACCCACCGCTGGGTGCACAGGGGGGAACGGCCCTACAAGTGCTTGGAATGTGGGAAGGACTTCAGTGTCAGCTCCTGCCTGATCCGCCACCAGCAGATCCACACTGGGGAACGGTGGCCCCGGCCCTACAAATGTGGGGAATGCAAGAAAAGCTTCACATACAATTCTCAACTCGTCACCCACCAGCGCGTGCACACAGGGGAGAAGCCCTACAAGTGCTCGGAATGTGGGAAGAGCTTCCGCGCCAGCTCCCACCTGACCCAGCACCAGAAGACCCACACTGGAGAATGGCCCTACCAATGTCCCGAGTGTGGGAAGAGGTCTCGGAGCAGCTCGGATCTCCTCAAGCACCAGCAGACGCACACGGATGAGAGGCCCTTCCGCTGCACCGACTGCGGGAAGGGCTTCAACCAGAACTCCACCCTCGTGAAGCACCGGCGCATCCACACTGGGGAGAGGCTCTACAAGTGTGAGGAGTGTGGGAAGAGCTTCACCTGGAGCTCTAGCTTGACCAAACACCAACGGACCCACCTGTAAGGGAAGCCCTGCGAGCGCCTTGACTGTGGGGAGAGCTTCATCTGCTGCTCCAACTCCATCAGCTGTCAGAGGATCCACATTGGGAACAGGCTTTGTGACCCACAGTCCC